GAGCATATCATCGGCATAAAATAAATAGGATTGAACATGTCTTCCCATTTTACATTCTTTTAGTTGATCCCTTTTTTTCCATTCTAAGCAGATTAAAAACTCATACTTGCAACGCAATAATGCGTTGATGAGTGAGATGAAGAGACTCATGAGGGAAGAGATGGAGCAGATGGATCAAATGGAAAACTCACGACAAGATTTTCCGCAAACAATTCCTAACATGAAAAAGACAGGACAAGCTCCACTTGGAGAAGCTAGGGCAGAAGATAATGAGTATTACAATGATGAATTTGATGACAAACATTCCGTTGCAGCAAATTGAATCAGAGCGAGGGTTCGCGATTCTCGAAACCGTGAGGATAACAATTTGGGAAACATCAAGGTGAATATAGATTCGTTTCAAGGTAGAAACGATCCTGAAGCTTACATTGAGTGGGATAGAAAGATGGAGTTGTTTGATTGTCACAATTACTCGGAACAAAAGAAGGTGAAGTTGGCAGTGATTGAATTCCCCAATTATGACATCATTTGGTGGGTCAATTGGTGCTGAACCAAAGGAGAAATAGAGAGAATCCAGTGACAACTTGGGACGAGATGAAAACCCTAATGAGGCAACGGTTCGTGCCAAGCTACTACCTCCGAGAGTTGTATCAAAATATGCAGAATTTGAAGCAAGGAAATCGAATTGTTGAAGAGTACTGTAAGTAGACAGAAATTTCAATGATCCCAGTCAACATTGAGGAGGACCGGGAGGCTACTATGGCAAGGTTCTAGGCAGGGTTGTCCAGGCCCTACCCCATTCTTTTTTTCAAATCAGACAACAAAACAAACAACAACAACAACAACAACAACAAGAAGCAAAGCAAGTAAGAATTCAGAGTTTTTTTTTTTTTGCAGTTCATCGTAAAAATGGAGAAGATCTGCGTAGCAGGGAAGGTGAGGCCATCTGCGAACGAAGAATCTGATAATAGCTTTCATTGGAAAGTCGAAAGCAACCGTATTTCTCTCCACATATCTCATGGCACTTCCATTTCTGGACTTTCCTTTGCTTTCGGTGACCTTAATCGCAATTCCGCGCGTGTATGGGTTCAATTTTAGTTGGGTAATTATCGATTTGAAAATTTGAACTTTTTTTTGGTGCTGATCATGTTTTTGATCAGGAATCCAGTAATGCTAGGGTTTATGAGCTTCTGACGAAGGACATTATCCATGCTGCAGTACAGGGATTTAATGGTGGGATCAGTTTTTGATATTTTTTCCTTTGATTTTGCATTTCTTCGGCTCTTCTGAATAGGGCTTCGATCTGTGAATGACAAATTGCTAAAGAAATATGATTTCACCAATGAAGAACAAATGTTAGCTATTTTACTTGAACACGAAATTTATGTCAAAACCAAACGGTAAAGGAATTTAAAAAAATTATCTTCTGAAGTATTGCTCGGTTTAGAGACGATTTGTACCTGGTAATCACGGTGATAGCTAAGAATGGAGTTCTACGAGTAACATGCTTCATCATTTCTCCCCTAAAGCAAGATGTGATTAAAAACGATTTCAATTTGCACGTAAAACTTAACGGAAGATTAGGGTGGTGATGTGTATAATTGGATCTTAAACCCAATTGGTCCATTAAAGGCCCAATTAAGGGAAATGTCCAATTAGAGCACCACTTCTATAATTTTCTCCCACATTGAATCTCTACAAGAAGTTTCACACTTATACACTTGTCCCACATTGAAAGTTTACAAGAAACTAATAGTCAAGTCCTACTATAAAGACAAGGTATGATTCATTTGTTGAGGGATCTCTAATTTGGGTGATATTTTAGCATTTGCAAAGTATCACTTCCAATACCTAACTTGAGCGTCGGAGTGTAATCGCCGGGGCCACCCCGACGAGTCACTTAGTGTCTTGATTTGTTTTGTAGGTTATTCGGCGGACCCACACCTTTGATCCCTTTGGACACGTGGCAAGGACCCTCGGCATTTCCGATATTGGGCTTGAAGATTCCCGGACTTAGGAGATCAGTGGGCTTCAAGAACATTGGGCTGACCCACCATTTTGGAGCAGCATCATTTTAGCGCCGTCTGTGGGAATGCGTACAAGAGCACGTGGCATGGAAGAAGGCGATCGAAGGACGGATGGATTCCCTCCCCAAGAAGGCCCCGAGATCCCGGATCCCCCCCGAAGGGCACGAACGACGGGAACTACAAACCGACCAGGAGGGGCCCCGCCCAGTCTTGCAGATGAGGACAGAAGAATTGGAAGCCTTGATGGACCAAGTGGCAACGAAGGCAGCGGCGGCGGCAGTGGCGCATTACCTCGTCACCCAAGGTGTAGCCCCAAAAGAAGACCCGAACCCGGTAACCGATGACCTGTTGGAGCCTCACCCAAACCACCCCGCCTCACCTATCGTGGAGCCTTACCATTCGGAGGAAAGAGTGTCAATGGGAGACCGAAACTTTCCCTCAACATCTGCTAGGAATGTCCAACGGCGGGCGCCTCACCTTAGCCTTTCGCCGGAGCAAGTGCCTCGAAGGAACAATCGCCGTTGGTCGCCACCATTTAATTTCACCATAGATTACTCTTTTCAAAGGGGCGACCATCAACGTAGAGCACGCTCAAGGAGACAAAAGGAGCGTATGCATCGAGAGGAGAAAGGCGAAAAGAGACGCCACCATCCCAACCACCGTGGAGGCCCTGATCAGGGCGAAGACGGTAGCAGAATGTCCCAACACAAGGAGAGAAGCCGACGTCGCACAAGGGTTGATGACGATGATGCAAGAAGCCGACGGACAAAGGCAAAAGAGTCGGCGTCCCTTGCCCTGGTGAAAGCGCTTCCGACAAGAGTAAGCCCATTTACCCCAGCCATTCTAAAAGAAGCCCTGCCCTTCGGGTTTCGGATCCCCGATCTTCCACAGTTCGACAGAACTGCAGATCCCCAAGACCATATAAATAACTTTTATGCGAAGGTCGATCTTTACGGTCTCACGGATGCAGCATACTGCAAGATCTTTCAAATTACCATGAGTGGCCAAACGCTAGGTTGGTTCAACAAATTGCCAGGTGGGACTATCGACGGATGGTCGCAGTTAGTGGAACAATTCCTTAGCCAATATTCCATCAACAAGAAGTATGCCAAGACTGGAACCTACCTTTTCAAGGTCGTCCAACAAGAAAATGAGGCGCTCAGAGATTTTATGCAACAGTTCTTTAGCACGGTGCATGAAGTATGCCACGTAAACCACGAGTTCTTGGCGGGGATCTTGATGAGCAACTTGAGGCATGAACGGTTTCGAGAGTCCCTTGCGGGCCGACCCTCCTCGACATTGGATGAGCTCATCGGTCGGGCCGAGAAGTACATTCGCATTGAGGAGATTGCGGAGATCGGTTTGCCCGCGAGGGGAAAGCACGAGGAGAAGCACCCTGAGACGAGAGAGAGATAAGAAATGCACCCAACGCTCACCTAACCTAACGCTCACGCCACATAGCCATCAAAAGGATAGCGCCACAACACATGAATACGCGCTAAGGGCCAAAAACTTGAAGATCTTAAGAGCTTTCAAAAACAAGCTGGGGGCATGTCGCTCACCGCAATATATTCTGTACTGTCAGCTACAATGATAATTGAATGTTTTAATCAGGGGCATACTTCCCGCCGAACCTTTATCTAATTACTCATTATTTGTATGTATTTGCTGATCACTTTCGTTACTTTCAACCCACTACCCGTAAAACTACAATTTACATACGTGATAACATATCGAAATTGGAATTTCGTTCCCTGAAACACCAAGAGAAAATAAAAGGACGGCCTTCCCACTCGGCTACAGCCAAGGGATACCGCCTTTCTTAAAAAGATGAAGCATAGCTCATCCTTTATGAATGTCGGAATTCCCACTAGGCAAAAAGTCAAGGGATACCACATCGCCTTAAAAGATAAAGCTTAGTTTATTCTTTGCGAGAGTTGAACTTCCCAATAGGCAAAAAGCCAAGGGATATGGCATCGGCTTAAAAATAAAGCTAAACTCATTCTTCGCAAAAAGCGCACTTCCCACTAGGCTATAGCCAAGGGATACCGCCTTGCTTAAAAAGATAGAGCATAGCTCATCCTTTACGAATGTCGGACTTCCCACTAGGCAAAAAGTCAAGGGATATGGCATCGCCTTAAAAATAAAGCTAAACTCATTCTTCACAAAAAGCGCACTTCCCACTAGGCTATAGCCAAGGGATACCGCCTTGCTTAAAAAGATAGAGCATAGCTCATCCTTTACGAATGTCGGACTTCCCACTAGGCAAAAAGCCAAGGGATACCCATCGCCTTAAAAGATAAAGCTTAGCTTATTCTTTGCGAGAGTCGGACCTCCCAATAGGCAAAAAGCCAAGGGATACGGCATCGCCTTAAAAAATAAAGCTAAACTCATTCTTCGCAAAAAGTGCATTTCCCACTAGGCTAAGCCAAGGGATACCGCCGTGCTTAAAAAGATAAAGCGTAGCTCATCCTTTACGAAAGTCGGACTTCCCACCATGCAATAACCATGAGATATCGTCTTACCCAAAAAAGACGGATTATAACTCATTATTTGCGAGAGAAGGGCGTCTTGCCATTGATATTTTCGGAAAGAAAATCGACCATTGGCGTAATGGCCGGCAAATTAGCCGTCGGCATCTTAAAAAAAAAAAAAAAAAAAAAGGTAGAGATAAAGAGATAGGAGAGGAGTTGGTGTCTAAACACTCCATTAATACCAACCCACCCTCTCCGCCCCAAATCTTTTCTCATTGGTTTCAGCCATTATCCCGTCTTCCATTACCAATGCCGACGGAGCCGTACAAAACACGGGCGAATTTTGGCTAAGTCTTTCCAAAATCACCCACACCCAACGCCGACGGAGCCGTACAAAAGACAGGAGAATTTTGTCCAAGTCCATCCCAATCACCCGACGGCTCGCTCATACAGTTTGATGTCGGCCGAAGCCGCAAACCCGAGTCGGCCGTCGCCCCGTTTACCCGGAACTCGACCCGACATCCGCTGGCCTGCCAGCTCCCCACCCGGCATCCTCCGGCCCGCGAATCGGCATCCCCCGACCCGTCGGCTCCCGGCCCGGCATCCCCCGACCCGCCGGCTCCCGGCATCCTCCAACCCGCCGGCTCCCGGCCCGGCATCCCCCGACCCGCCTGCTCTCGGCATCCTCCAACCCGCCGGCTCCCGGCCCGTTGGTTCCCGGCCTGGCATCCCCTGACCCGCCGGCTCCCGGCCCGTCAGCTCCCCAACCGGCAACTCCCGCCCCGTCGGCTCCCGCGAACCGGCATGCCCCGGCCCGCCGGCTCCCCACCCGGTATCCCTCGATCCGCCGACTACGTCGCAACCCGGAGGTCCTCGACCCAACGGCTTCCGGCCCACTACCTCGCGACCCGGAGATTCTCGACCCGACGGCTCCCAACACACCAAGGTTGAACCCGATGGCTCTCGGCCACCCAAGCTCGGACCCGACTAAGAGTCTTCCCGAGGGCACCCAAGCGGCCACTTCGTCATCCCACCCGCCCCCCACTTCGTCATCCCACCCGCCCAACCACCACTCACTTTCGTAGCGCCACCGCTCCTCAAAGCGCGCGTACGAGAGACGGACAAATTTCATCCTAATACACCCAAGACACCCCCGCCCTCCGGATCATCCGCCGTAGCGCAAATAGTGCAACTCTTCAGGTCACGGAACAAGAACTCCAAACTCATTATCTACTACTCCCTAGCCGGCCCACGGACTGTGGCCCAATTTGGGAGTGGGGGCCTTAATGATGTGTATAATTGGATCTTAAACCCAATTGGTCCATTAAAGGCCCAATTAAGGGAAAAGTCCAATTAGAGCAGCAGTGCTATAATTTTCTCCCACATTGAATCTCTACAAGAAGTTTCACACTTATACACTTGTCCCACATTGAAAGTTTACAAGAAACTAATAGTCAAGTCCTACTATAAAGACAAGGTATGATTCATTTGTTGAGGGATCTCTAATTTGGGTGATATTTTAGCCTTTGCAAAATATCACTTCCAATACCTGACTTGAGCGTTGGAGTGTAATCGCCGGGGCCACCCCGGCGAGTCACTTAGTGTCTTGATTTGTTTTGTAGGTTATTCGGCGGATCCACACCTTTGATCCCTTTGGACACGTGGCAAGGACCCTCGGCATTTCCGATATTGTGCTTGAAGATTCCCGAACTTAGGAGACCAGTGGACTTCAAGAACATTGGGCTGACCCACCATTTTGGAGCAGCATCAGGTGGTTTCCTAGTGGTTTACAGGGCTTCTTGCCTTCCGCTTTTCTTTTTTCATTTGTTATGATATTCATTTGATATACTTGATGGAGCTTATAAAACATCGATATCGAGCATTTCTTATTAATTATGTTGAAACATTTCTTACTAATAGAAGATAATCACAATGCAGGAACTGCATTTACATATGGGCAGACAAGTAGTGGGAAAACATTTACCATGAATGGATCGGAAACGGATCCAGGAGTTATCCATAGAGCTGTCAAAGACATTTTCGCTAATATTCAAAAGGTAACAACAAAACATTTCTTTGACGGACTTCAAAAAAGTTTCGTATTAACTACTTTGTGTAATAGTATCTCACAAAAATTCCATGCTTTTGTATTAGATATCAGATAGGGAGTTTCTGATTCGTGTTTCCTACATGGAAATTTACAATGAAGACATTAATGATCTTTTTCCTGTGGAGAATCAAAAACTTCAAATTCACGAGAGCTTGGAGGTAGGTTGTGGTTAATCGTCTATAGCATGGAAAAATTTCTTCTTATGTGTGAAGGTATTGATATATGCGTCGCCTTTTAGCGCGGGGTATTTGTTGCAGAGCTGAGGGAGGAAATCGTCAACAGTGCTGACCAAGTGCTTAATCTTATTCAACTTGGAGAAGGTTTCATAATGCATTTAAAAGTAGCATGTGCTTTAGTATTATGATATGAAATACTTATATCGACTTTTCATTCGTGCAGCTAATTGGCATTTTGGGGAGACGAACATGAATGCTCGTAGCTTTGTTTAGCAGTTGCGATTACTAATAATTCCTTTGAGTTAATTAATTTACATCCTATGTATCTCATTAATTGCAATTATTTGTCATGAGCCAGGTAATCGAAATCAAAGCAAAGGATAACAAATCCAATTATATCTCAAGTCCGGATGATGCTATACATGTCTCTGTCCTGGTTTGTAGTCATCCCTTTAAATTGTTCCAACGTCAATTTATTGGCTCCTTATATTCTTAAATCTGAACTTCAACTTACTGTTTTGATTTCAGAAAATTGAAAACGGCAAACAAAGGACAATATTATGTTTCTCTTGAGCTTTCTCAAACCTTAACTTCCTCAGAAACTTTAACATTTACAATTTTTATTCGCCAACATTCAACTGTTGTATTTTGAATTCGAAAATTACTTTAGTAAACTCAGATATTTGTTTTTCAGGGAACTGAACCCAGATTTAGTGTAATTTCATGTCCTCTTTCTTACCAAATAAAATTGTACTGTATCCTTTTAATTTACTTCTACTACTTGTTTATTTTCTAGAATTTAGTTGACTTAGCTGGGTCTGAAAGAGTAGCTAAAACTGGAGCTGGGGGAGTTCGTTTGAAGGAAGGAAAGGACATTAACAAGAGCTTAACGATTCTTGGTAATGTAATCAACAAACTGAGTGAGGGTGGAAAGCAAAGGTAACTGTTTATATCAAACTGTATGAAAATAGTGATTTCGTGTTTACTCACTCTCAAGTTCCATTTGCAGGGGTCACATTCCTTACCGTGATAGTAAGCTCACTCGCATTCTTCAACCTGCCCTTGGTGGAAATGCAAAAACTTCAATAATTTGCACAGTGGCACCAGAGGAGGTACTAAACTGCTACTTATTCGATATCGCAGTTAATTCACTTAAAGATCGTATTTGATGTAGGACATCATATTGGTATGTATAGATTCACATAGAGGAAACAAAAGGGACACTCCAGTTTGCTAGCAGAGCAAAGAGGATTACCAACTGCGTCCAAGTGAATGAGGTCTGTTACATTTGTTCAACTAAGTTCTTGAATCTCTACTGTTTTGTATGTTTTTTCTTCCACACTTGGGGTGTGGCATGTAAAGAATGAAAAATTTGTGCTTGTATTAATCAAGCAAAACGCTAAAAATGATTTGACCTTCACCAGTTTTGGAATTTTCAAATTTGAACTAATAGTAGAGCTCCTATATATTTCAGATATTGACTGATGGTGCCTTATTGAAGAGACAAAAACAAGAAATAGAGGACCTACGGAGGAAACTTCAGGTATAATGATGTTTTATGTCAGGGTATTAGACTAAGAGCTAAAATAACCCGGTACAATTTTTTCGGCAGGGTTCTCATGCGAAAGTGTTGGAGCAAGAAATCTTGAAACTGAGGAATGACATGCTGAAGGTTTGGTGTTTCTTATCAGATTAATACATATTTTGATGTCTTCTACAGCTATATGATTTTTTTAATCTTATTATCAGTACGAACTGGAGCGTGAGAAGCTGGCCGCGAAACTAGAAGAGGAGAGGAGATCACAAAAAGAGCGTGAACAGTGCATTAAGGAGCAGCAAATGAACATTGATAACCTTAGCAATCTGGTCCCTTTGTCTGACTCTGAAAGAAGCTCGTCACATGTATAATTCACGGTGCCCTCAAATTCATTTTTAAGATATAAATTTTCTTTTCTGAATTTGGAAAAAAATGTTCTACTGTGCCTAATTTGGTAGGATGGTGTCAAACAAGCCCTTCTAGATGGTAGTGCGAATGCCAACAGTAACAACACGTGCAGAGAAGATGCTTTTAGTACCCCGTGTTTTAAAGCAGCTCCGAATGTATTTGTTGCGAGGCGGTCACAATATGTAGCATAACCATCATGTAGCCCACTTCCGGATATGTTTGGTGATTTTGCTGATGAAGATGCATGGATGAAAATGAATAAAGGTTTCATAGCTGACCTTGATTCACGTCATATGACTCCTTCAAGGAAAGTCCAATCATTTCCCATAAGTGAGGTAATGTACATGTTCACATTTGTTTCTTGTCTAGATTTTTACCATGAAATTTATTTTTGTATTCTTATCTTTTGTTACCTAATTGCGAAATTAAGTCTGCTCTATTTTGATGGGCATAGAGGCTGTTTTACTCGCAATACAACGCTACTACAAAATGCTGACTTAGGCACCTTCAGTTTCTATTTTGAAGAAATCCCACTTGCTCCTTGTAGATAAAGAAAATTCGAGGATGGTGTTGAGTGAATATTATTTACGAGTCCGTTTTTCATAAATAAAATCGAGTCATACTGTATATTTGTCTGAATATATAATAAATACCATACACATACACTAGTCACTCGGTAATTAAACTTGTACATACAAATAATATCACTCATACAACTTAACACTCGTCTTTAACTTATTAAATTTCTAATCACCACCTTGCAAACACTACCCACCACCTGAGTTTCACTTCTACTGCAATAAATTACGTCTCCAAGAGCAGAACTCTTGTAAATGCTCCCTAAATCTAACAACGTACATTTATTTTGACCGGTAGTTTATAAAATTTGGAATATGCCACATGATCTGAACTTGGTATAGCATTACAGGACTGCACAACGGAGAATCACAGTCAAGAGATACAGAACCTCCAGAGACAGCTAAAACTTGTAACTGAGGAAAGAGATGAATTCAAGGTTAGTTGCTTGGCTAATATTTCATAATTAATGTGAAGTGCTCAAACTAATTTTATTTGCAAAGTTGATTACATGAATCTAATATTCATCATTTTATGTTTAAAAAACTTCAATGCATGTTGTTTTAGAGGAAGTATGCCGAACAAGTGTCGTTCACGAACCAGTTAGCAGGAGAGATATCCAAACTCCAAGAAGAGATACGGCTATTTCAAGAATTTCCCCGAAATCTGCACGAAACCGTTACGAATTGCAAGGATATTTACAAGGACGTTTTCTCTGTTTTAGAGGTGCCACTTCCATATTGTTTTGACTATCATAAATTCGACCAGAGAGAGAGAATTCCTCCTAAATTTTATGATTTGATAAATCCTTATGTAATCCTTTTTTCTTAACAGAACTTTGTAGCCGATGAAAAATCTGCTTCAGCTCAAATACTCTCTGCTACAAGAGAACTTGGAAACTGCCTCTTCTCAAGTTTAGAATCTCATTTAACAATGGCTATGGATGGAAAGAGAACTTCCCCGATAATTGATTACTCTATTCGAGACCAATGTAAAATGCTCCATCAGAAGCTGAGTGGTGCAATCTCTTCCTTGGTGTTATCGGATGCATCATCAGCTATAAAGGATGATAATACGGAGAATTCTGTTCAAAGCAGCAATTTTAAGGTAGCTGCCTGGTCATATATATCAAGACCTCACATGCAAAATTTGTTATTTTTCTCCATCCTGACAATTGGATTCTATTTCTCCTACTTGACGCTCATAATCTCAGGTTTTTCCTGCCTTCTTTTATGATGGTTAATATCTGTTTTCACACTCCTATTCCTTCGTAATTTTTTGCGGACTGTTCAGAATTTTCTAGTACTATTGGGCTAGTCAGGTCA